TGAATTTCACATTATGAATACATGTCTGACTTATATTTATTAGTAATGTTTTGGTCAAATGACCTAACCCTAACCCTACAAAACGCAAATTTAACAACAACTCATTAAAGGAATAGTTCACCCACAAATAAAATTGGCTGAAAATGTACTCACCCTCAGGCCATCCAAGATGTAGATGTAGTTTGTTTCTTCATCAGATTTGGAGAAATGTAGCATTGCATCACTTGCTCACCAGTGGATCCTCTGCAGTGAATGGGTGCCGTCAGAATGAGAGTCCCAACAGCTGATAAAAACATCACAATAATCCACAAGTAATCCACACCACTCCAGTCCATCAGTTAACATCTTGTGAAGTGAAAAGCTGTGTTTTTGTAAGAAATAAAGCTATCATTAAAGCATTTTTAACCTCAAACTGTTGCTTCTGGCCATAATCCATAATAACGCCTCCTCCAGTGAGAAAGTCCATCCCCTGTTGTCTCTCACATCAAAATCCATCCACATATTTGTTTTGGACTGTTTTTGTGCTTGATCTGTGCAGATTTCTCTCCTGATTCTGACAAAACAACATTTTTACTGAAGGAAGCAATATTATGGATAGAGGACTCGTATTTTAGCCAGAAGCAACAGTTTGAAGTTAAAAAACAAAGTCTTTCTGATGGATTTGTTTCTTACAGACACGCAGCTTTTCGCTTCACAAGATGTTAACTGATGGACTGGAGTGGTGTGGATTACTTGTGGATTATTGTGATGTTTTTATCAGCTGTTTGGACTCTCATTCTGACGGCACCCATTCACTGCAGAGGATCCATTGGTGAGCAAGTGATGCAATGCTACATTTCTCCAAATCTGTTCTGATGAAGAAACAAACTCATCCAATATGTCCTGAGGGCGAGTAAATTTCCAGCAAATGTAAACTATTCCTTTAAGACTAAAATATGCAACAAAACAGCACTTGAACTGTTTGCTTTTTGAAATAAGAATTAAAAACCCAGAGTTTTTCAGCCGGTTTTCTCACGCCTACACGCTCAGATGACAAGGTCGCCGTAAGAGCAGCACATGCCATCCGGACACACTTCATTGAGCATCAAGTCATCCCTACGGCAGTTTTATTAAAGACATAACAGACGACCGTAAAGGTTTTATAAGAGTGTTATTATCTGTGCTCTGTTCACTGAGGGTCCCGAGGGGAAATCTGCTGGATTTATTCCTCGGCCCGTACAGTTAAAGAAATCAAATTAGCGTTTACTGTTTCTTAATCGAAGCTTGTGGATCACACGTGAGCCAAACAAAACCGGTTTAATCTGTCTTTCTTACTTTAGCGTCAACCGCTCACCTCAATCACTGACCTTTGCTCCGTCACTCCGGTACATTATCAGTCTCAACAACCACCAAACTGCTCTCTAAATGAACTCAACCGGTAGGGGGGCAGTTCTCAAAATCATTATGTTAAAAAAATGAACTAAAGCAGCATTAAAGATGATAAAAGATCATTTCTATGGCTACCAGTGATGTTCTCATAAGGTCACCCGCTGATTTTCTCTACTGCATGCTGCATAAATGATCCTCTGCTGAGTGTCATTATTTCAAGGATAAAGCCAACAAATCTAAGCTGACACACACGTCAGTATTGACATTTATGAAACTGACAGTTGAGCAACATTTGGAATAAACTGGGAACATGCACAACAATACATGTAGAACCAGTGTTGGGGGTAACACATTACAAGTAACGTGAGTTATGTAATCAGATTACTTTTTTTCAAGTAACTAGTAAAGTAACGCATTAATTTTACATTTACAAGAAAAATTTTTTTCAAAGAGTTACTTTGTTTTCCCATTTTTTCACTGACACCTCTCCTGTACCTGTGTTGAGAGAAATTGGGAGTGAGATTTATTTAATTTCACTTTTGGTGTGAAAGAAGGGCCTTTACAGTTGCCAAAAATATAACTTTTTTTAAATTAATTTTTTTAATTAAAAATAAATAAGCAAGCCCAGCCCAGGTGACAAAAAGTAACATAATGCATTACTTTCCATAAAAAGTAACTAACACAATTAGTTACTTTTTATGGAGTAACGAAATATTGTAATGCATTACTTTTAAAAGTAACTTTCCACAACACTGTAACAGTATGTGATGACCGTGAGTGATTACATGAAAATTACATCAAAAGTTATTTCAAATCTCTAGCAAACGTTTTTGAGTTGTCAGATGTATACAATGTGCAATGTATTTAATAAAAATAAAAATTTTTAAATGCATGTTGCATGATGTGTAACTGCCAAATTAACAAAAAGTAAATGTTACATATATTTTATTGGTAACACTTTACAATAAGGTTCACTGAACTAAGAATGAACAATACTTCTACAGCATTTATTAATCTTAGTTCATGATAATTCCAACATTTACTAATTCATTATTAAAATCAAAAGTTGTGCTTGTTAACATTAATTAATGCACTGTGAATTAACATGAACAACTGTATTTTCATTAACAAAGATTAATAAATACTGTATAAATGTATTGCTCATTGTTTATTTGTGTTAGCTGATACATTAACTAACATTAATTGAACCTTATTGTAAAGTGTTATATTTATTTATATGTGTGTGTGTATTAATATTCAGCAAGGACACATTAAATTAAAACATGCATCATTGTTTCCCAAAAAAATTTTATCAGCACCATTGTTTTTAACATTGATAATAATTATAAATGTTTCTTGAGCAGCAAAGAATGATTTCTGAAGGGTCATGTGACACTGAAGGCTGGAGTAATGATGCTGAAAATCACAGGAATAAATGACATTTTATTTTAAATATATTCGAATAGAAAAATTTATTTTAAATTGTAATAATATTTAAAATTTTACCGTGTCCTACGTTATGTATCATATGGACTGCGTGCTGCTTTGTCGTTTTTGTACCTCAACAGTACCCGTTCCCATTCACTTTCATTGTGTGAAAAACAGCTCTCTAGACATTCTGCTAAACCTCTCCTTTTTAGTTCCACGGAACAAAGAACGCATTCAATGTTTGGAACAAAATGAGGGTGAGCAAATAATGACCATTTTTAATTTTAGGGGGGGTAAACTATTCCTTTAAGTGTAGGTCAGTTCTGCTTGTAATGGCACAATCTAACCGCTAGAAGTCGCCACTTCGACACGCAACTCCTCGGCTGTGTGAGAGGCGTGCGCAATGAGTGAACGCACCGGGCTTTACTGCGGGACGGGGCTGATATACGGTCGCTCACCCGTCCGTTCGCTCTTCTCTCGTTCTGTTCCTCTTCACGGGCCCGTCGAGGCCGCCGCCTGTGCGTGCGAACCGGGGGTGATGGGCGGGGCGGGTGGAAGCCGCTGGGAACACGGACTCCTTCCCCATCGGGATGGTGAGCGAGCAGCTCCACCTGCGGAGCCTCATCTGGATCATCACAAATTGGATGTTATGCAACAACGGGTTAATAAAGCAGCGCTTCAATTAGTGTTTCACTGACTACTATGGTACCAAGTGCATGTTCAACACTCAAAGGATAGAAACAAGGTTGCATTACGCGTTTTTCCAAACACCCAAGCGCGAGACACAAATCATTCACAGACTTGACATTCGCGTATTCATTTAAACTAGTTGCTATTTTATGTTACAAGTACTTATTTCCTTTTAAATTACAAGTAGTTAATCCTGATCGCACACATACATCACAGAGACGTCTATTTGACGTCTGCATTTAAATCTGCAAGACGTATTTTTTAGAGTGTTTGTTCATCTGCAATACGTCTATAGGACGTTTCCTATCAGATGTCAAATAGACGTTTAGTAGATGTCTTTAAGATGTTTATGATTTAGAATGAATGTAAAACTGACATCTTTAAGACGTCTATCAGATGTTTGTACACAGCAGATGCTTTCCAGATGAAGCGATCTTTAACAGACATCTTGCAGACGTGCGTGTGCCATCTGAAGCTTCCGGTGTCATTCGCTTTCAGTTATTTTTCCTGTACAAATCAGTCCGTTTTTTAAATCATTGTCATAATCATAAACACACTGGTTTGTAGCGCAAACAGTTTTATCGTTTGCTGCACTTTGTTATGCCTAATGCATTGGAAGTCCCGCACATTCACAGAAAATAGCTCACTTCCGCATTGCAAAATAAGGTGAATAGGGTTCAATTAGTCCTGGAAAAATATATATTAGTAACTATTTAAATGGTAAATAAGTACTAGTACTAGTAAAACTGGAACAGGTAACAGGTAACAAGTAGACACACTACTAGTCATTCAAAAGCAAAAATCTGCAATTAGTTACAGTAGCAGTGGAATAGTTATTTGTAACTAATGGGATAGTGAGTATCAGCAAGGAATAGCCTACATGCTTTTATGCAATCAACAATACTATAATTGATTAGATATTTGGATATTAGTATCTAGAACCTTATGAATATTTACCTATAAAATACTAAAAATATACAAGTCACCCATTGTTTGTTATATATATGTTCTGAATAAAAGTAAAAGAAGAAAAATATACTATTAAAAAAAATGGTGTAGACACAATTTTCACCCAGAAATTTCTGTAGAGTTTCACAAACAATTACAAAGAAACAGCAAGTAACACACTGAATTAAACGCGAAATTTAGTAGGAAAAATGAACTAATAGTACTCCAATATCCTTTGTTTTACTTACATCTTGGTACAATGTACATACTTGTAATTGAAAAAAGGATGTATAATGACATAAAAATGCTGATTATATTTGGTTTTAAGGAATAAATGTCAAAGCAACCTGGCACAGACATGCTCAATCCATTTAGCCTGCACGATCCGAGCTATATTCCCACAGCAATAAAACATTTCAGTTTGTCAAAGCATTGATGGATGTTATATGTGCATGCATTTACAATAACAGCTCCCGAGCATCCTCTACCCCAGCCCACCCCACCCCACCCGCGGGGCAATGGCTCAAAGCACGTCACCGTGAGTGTGTGTGTGTGTGTGTGTGAGGAAGGAAGGAGAGGGAGAGAGAGAGAGAAAGTAGATGTGTGCAGACAACCTGCTCGCGCGTAATTCTGGGAGGACTCTCCGCCGAGCAACGACACAATAAACACTCACGGAGCCGCAAGAGTTTCCCCCGGTGGAGTAACAATAAGCACTTAAATCACGTCACACCACCCAGCCAGGAGTTCATCATCAATCTGCAGCCATGTATCTGAACAGGGAGGAGGAGTACAGCAAAGGTAGGCGCTTTTATTTCTGTTGCCATTAAACTTGTAGGAGTATCTTCTTCTCACCTTGGACGGGCGCCTCTGGCACGGACGGGTCTGGTGGGGTCGCACGAGGGGGTTTGGGGGGGTGTTATAGCTGGCACGACCGCATCGTAAGCACCTGTCGTGGGGTCATCACTTCTTTGCCCCCCCTTGTTTAACATCATTGTCCGAGCGCGCGCGCACTAATGACTGTTTGACATTGTCACGCGCTCTCGGGGCATTTGCATTGACAGCGATGACCAGATTAAATAACTTTGATTCGAGGTCCCGTGAAGGTCTGCTGTTGCGTAATGATACGCGAACGAAGGCTCAATCAGGGCTACTTGTTGTGCGCTTCGTCCTTGACAGATCTTCGCGCGAAGAGACTTGAGGAAGGACAAATGACTAAAACACAAGGTCAAAGCATCTCAAAGCGGGCTCGGCTTGTGCCTCGTCCTCGTTATCCGCACCATTACACGCGAACCTTGGCGTTATGGTGAATCTTTATGCTGATTCCGTGGGCGTTTTGCTGGGGTATATACGGTGGGCTGTTATTTGTGTCAGCTCTCCCACGTGTTTCCGAAGCGTGATTCCCCGTGAATTCACAGGGTGTCCACTACAATTTTCCCCGGTGTCCCTCCCACGGTAAATGAATTCGCTTCGGAGCTCCGGAACGGAGGTGATTGGAATTAAGAGTGGATGCGCGTTCGGGATACGCCAGCAACACCTGCTGCTACCGAGAGCCAGAAAGCAAAAGACGGTGTTTGATATGCGGTAATGGCCGTGAGGAGATAATAACCATGGCGTGAATGAATCTGTGTGGGTTTGGAAAGGAAAGGTGGTCACGGAAGAGCCCATACAGGACAAACCCGACACAGAAACGGGATCTGGTTTAAAAAAAAAGGGTGTTCAATTTGAGCCCCCCC